TTTAAGACTTTTCATATTCTCGAAGGCCATTTCAGGGATTTCCTTGATTCGGTTTTTGCCAAGAAATCTGAAACAAAAATATAATAGAACTTACACGTGTGTCATTTCTTCAATAGTTTATCAAATTTAACTTGATTTAATGGCTTAAGTACGATTGCACACCAAAAGACCAGCCGCATCAAATCCTTCGTCACTTAAAGCACATATTGAAATTTTTCTTCTTCGAATCGAGCTGTATGTCCAGAAATGCACTGTGATGAGATTCCTGCAACTTAAGGTGGCTGGGCACAGTTTGAAATTAGGTTGTGGATCATTATTCATTGGGATGTTATCTAAGACTTGCTGGAGGTATAAACTCAAATCTGGCACAGAAAAAATATGTTTTTAAGCCATGACAGTTGTCAGGTTTAAGGTGAGATGTCTTTCGACAGATGATTGAAAACAAGCTTAAAATTTTAAATTTATTAGGTTAACGCAAAATACAGTCAATAGATTTACTGATGAATTTGCAAACATCTTACAATTACTAAACCTCATTTTTTTAAAGAGCTTAACCAAATTGTAACAAACAGTTTTTGATTTTTTTAGAAAAATACATTTTATGAGAAACTTGATTGTGTCACAAAACTACTTTTTCAAAATTTATTTTGAGGCTTCTATTGCCTGAAGGGCGACATGAACAAGATTTTTGGCAATTGTCGTCAACTTTTAATGAGTAGATTTTGAGATATTGTTGTTTGTTTAAATTTCCTATGAAAATCAACAGAACAAGCGCTATCATTGCTCGCACAAAGTGCGCATGCTCAACACTTGTGCACGCGCTAAGATCACGAGATATGCCAAGGGAAGAAAACAGAATAACTGCTGGCCATTTTTCTCAGCTTGCCCTCATATGTTTTTGTTTAACAGCTTATTGGCTGCAAAAATTCTCGTCATGATAAGCAATTAAGCAAGTTATGAACGGCAAAGGGATAAAACACTTCTAGAAAAACTGAGTTCAGCCACCTTAAGATAGACATAATGAAATGTCTCTCAACCCCAATCCACCTAAAGGCCAACCTAAACGCAAGAAATTTGGTCAAACAAGAAGTCCTATGGAATTTAATAATACTTTATTTATTCTGAGGTACGTTGTGTTCATTTCTGGGCATAAGTAGGAATCAAAGGACGCTCTTAAAATAGTTAAAGCTTCAAAGTACCGTCCTTACGTATCCATATAGCGTCCGCTCGAATCGCTTTTTAATTGTTCTTGCTCGTCCACACGTATTTGTTTGTTTTGTTTTGTTTTTTTAATGGATGTTTTTTAAACTGACTGGCCTTGAATGATTCTTAGATTCTCCCTCTCTTTCTGGAAATGAGATGTTTTTTTACAGTGTTAGAAAAGTGTTATGTGTTCGTTTCTGTCCACGCGACAAGAAGAAACCTGCGTTCCAAAAATTTCCACGTATAGAAAGCACTCTTTCAAAATGTTTCGTTTTGGTGAACGCTCTCATCAAAACGTGTAGACGGAGGGCCAGTTAAGATTTTGAATTGGAATATCATTAGTAGCTATTTTCGCCGCATCACAACTCACTTCCGTGGGTATCAGTAGTATATTTACGCAATTAGGGAAACTTAAAAGTGCAAAAAAACTAGCGAGAGAATGTTTGGAACTTTCAGCGACCCAATGACGCCAGTTGATTCCTTAACTGGGAGGGTGGGGTTTCTAAAACGGACCCTCGAAAACTAGACCTAAGACCTAAGACCCGTCTTAGTTTTCAAGATTACGAAAACTTAATAAATTCCCCAAAGACGCCAGATTCCAGGAAGACTATGTTACATCTCTCGAAAACGTAATCCAAGAAGGTTTCGCTGAAAAGGTTCCCTCTAAAGATTTACATAGAGCAGACGACAAGATCTAGTATAGTCCACATCATTGGGTGTATCACACCAAGAAAACTGCGAGAGGATAAAGGTCCTTGTTTATTGTTCCGCCCAGTTCCAAGGGCAACCTCGTTCTTAGGGTTCGCCCTACGGAGCGGGTAGGAGAGAACCCTGGGAACCAGGTTGTTTCAAGGGATGTCTTTGAACAGCGAATCACTACAGAGCACTAATTTGACCAATGTACAGTTTGGTTGGAATAGTGTTTCATTTCTGACAAGACCCAGTGGCTGTAATGGTACAGATGTGCAATTGATATTTCACCAGGTTCGTGTTCCTGTTTTGAGGATCGTGACTTTATGCGGTTTCTCTGGTGCCGCCCGGTTGTGATCTCGATAAGGGTGTGGAAGAGTACCGAATAACTCTACCTCTTTTGGGTGCAGTTTCGTCTCCATGTTGAGTCAATCTTGCCATGCGTGGAAATGCTGAAGACCACCAGCACGAGTTTTCGCCTAAAGTCTTTTCTACTGCTCTGAAGAATCTCTTTCTAGACGACAGCTTGAAACCTCTGCCTTCCAGAAATGAATCAATTAAGTACGAGTGTGATCTTCCTAGCTTAATGAGCACAGCAGACTTTCAC